AGGGTAAGATTTCTTTGAATTTTAGGTGAATTGGTGGTTCCCAGCTCTGGTTTCAAAAAATCCTCTTAACCTTAAAAATACACTTGTTGTACAGAGGAAAATTAGTTTTCCCCCATGGTATGTATGAGTTTTGAAACTAATTTCGCCTATTCCATCGTTTCTCCTGAGAATTGCAGGAAAAACTCGAATACTCATTTCACCAAAACCACAATGGCTCCTTCCCCGTTAGAGATAGCTTTAACGTACGGATTATCCTGGTTGAGCAGCTCAAACTTGGCCACCGCAGCGCGAAGCGAACGCGACGAACCCATCCCGGCAGAAGTAGTCGCAGCGCCGATTTCGGGGCGTGGTGCTCCTGGAAATACATAACACACCCGTTTCCTGCGATCCCCGTTGGTGTTGCCATGGCATTTGTTCCGTGGTCAAGATTTGCGCTCCAACTTTAGAAGAGGCAGAAGCGGCGCATAGATGACATTTCGACAGTCTGTGCGCACCCCCCCCCTTCAATTGTCATTTCAAAAAAAAGGCTCGGGCTTACGAACACTTAGGACCGGAGTTTGAAGCTGAAGGTCAGGAGAGCCCATGGTACGTAGCCCAGGATGCCCACTCGGTAGCAAGTCACTGGTCGCCTACGCTTAACTGCCTTGTCCAGATAATAAATAAGCGAGTTTAAAAAACACACATATACGCAACGAAAAGAAGGCTACAAGCGCGCCACCGCGCAATAGAAAGTTCTGTTCATGTCGTGCAGGCGTCTTTCGACGCATACCCTCGCTAGAGAATAGCGCTTCTGTCAAAAACTTCACGAAAATTCCAGGGTCAAAGGTCAGCGTCTTTTTTGCAGCAACGGAAGGCAAGAATCAAATCTCATAAATTAGTGACTTAAGTCAGGACCCTGTCCATACCGAGAGGTTTCTGCGCTGAGCATTTTTACCTCATCTGTGAAAACAAAAGTATCGAAATCTTATTCACAAGCTCGTTGTCGTACATACTCAAATGGTAACCAACTACGCAATCAAGGCGAGCTAAAACCAAAAGAAACAAAACAACCATTTGATATGCAAAAAATACAGCTAATCAAACAGCGACAATCCGCTACCACGCAATAAAAATCTCATCAAAAATATTGAAATCACTGGGGGAATCTAGTAAGTGAAACATGTGAACGCTAAGTAGATCACTGTTGCTGACTTTACAATGAGGTACTAGTGATGCTTTCCGATAATTATACACTATACAAATTAGTTAAGTACACAACATACCCCTGACTCTGTACCTAAATTAATTGCAAGGCGAGTGAGCAATTGATGACCATAGAATCTTTCAAAATCTACATACAAAATCTAATTCTAAAAATAAGCAAGAAAAAATCAAAAAGTGTAATCCTTTTTCTTCTTCTTGTCGTGCGTATTACAGGCAAACGTGTCATGGCCAAACACTGAAAAACAGTTTTCACCCTTCGAAAGTCTGACACTATTTTCTGAAATCTTTTTGAAGGCGGCCAGCCACATTAGGAAAACAGTGATTGGTCTGCTGAACATACTGCAGGAGTTTCTCAGTGAGTAGCCGCATGTAGCCCGCCTCTGGGTGCCCTGCTCATACCAATAACCTCCGATTTCGAAACCTAATTGCGCTTCAGGGGCTTATGCCGTGAAAGTTCTTCGACACTACACTAAACTTCGAAAATGTTTTGAGCCTTTCAACGGCCAATTGCTCAGCGATGGCGACAGGAACGGTGCTATAGGTGGATTCCATTATTGACCCAGTAGATCAATCCATTATGTGAATAAGGACTCATCCCACCTGGGTGGAAGTGGTGTAGCGGCAAGAGGTGCCACCACGCGCACAGTGAAGGGATCGAATCTGGGATCATACATCCTGACTTATCCATGTCTTCCATCCCTCCAGGTTTGGCTAAATGGTACCGAACTTCTCTGGGACAAACGCTGACTTGTGCATACTATCCACGCAAGTCATTGTATAGGCCAAATCGCAATCAGTGCCATTGCGATTTCGAATAAAGTAGAATGCACGGCGCAACCCGAAAGACTTATTATCGCTGAGTAGTTTGTCCTTTCAACCTTTACCCATGTGCCCTCAAAAATAAAAGATGTACATGTTCACACCTCAAAGAGTGAGACAAAAGATATTCGCCAGATGTCAACTGAGGTGTGACTGCTGTTGCTAGCGACGCAAAGATTTGAGCAGCGGATCTGTCTCACTCGTCCGCCGTGCTCATTCGCCTGTTCCCTCGCCCCGTTCCTCTTCGTGACAACACTTTCCACGACCAGGAAGAAGGTCCCTCATTCAGTGTTTTCAATGGGTTCCTTTTCCAGCATACCGCGCTAGTGTCACTTCAGCAAGTTAATTTCATTTCAAGTGACGAAACCACAATACGCCCCATAGATTAAGTGCCTGGAAACGATAAAAGAATAATTGCTCTGTCACCCAACGAATCGCGTCCGCTCCTACCGAATAAAGGCACGATTGTGTCATTTAAAGACGCTCAGCCTGTTCCATCACCTGATATAAATTTAAAACATCAACTTTTCATTGATAAGAATTTTCTGGAGAACTCTGCTAAATTAGAGTAACTAAAAAAAAAGAAGAAATATGAGCTTACTTTCACAGTAATCGCAGTACTCTCGAGATGGTGGTGGTGGTTTCTTTGGCTTTGTTCGGACCATCTCTTCTTGGACTTCTTGTTTGGACAATCCTAGAACATAGTGAAATGTCAAAAACGCCACACACCTGAGCCAACTATCCTATAATTTGTACTACTTTGCTACTGTAGTGCTTATGAAAATTCGTCATTCTGTATAAATACCTACAACTGATATCCATATATGGTCATCTGCGAGCCATCGCAAACCATCGTTCGTAGTCAAGCACCTCCCAAACTTTGACACAGGTATAACCCCTGCCAGGCTCTATTCCTGTTTCCATCACTTGATTTGAAATCTCCTTACGTGACGCCATAGTCGTGCGAGATAAGATCAGAAATCTGCCTGAAGCGGGCCAGTTATTCCCCTGGAACGATATACATAATATGTCCCTAGCCCATTAGCAGGAACGACTTTTGATTTCCCATGGAACTTTGAATGCAGACCTGGCGACAGTTTCTGACTTAGGAAGTTCACGTAGCGATCTGGTTTCCATATTTGCAATTAGCTCTCTTGACAATACATTCACCCAGATATACATAAAAGGATACACAGCCATTCTGCATCAATTACTACTGAAAACGTTTCCGATAACCTCGCGATAACTGGCCTGCTTTCCTGTTTTTGATTGAGAGTCCCCCTCCCCCTCCCTCACTCCATACATAGGAATGACATGTACTTCATTTATCGCGAAATTATGAAATATCGTCCCTAAATATTTGCGTCGCCAAGAATCGCCTAGCGCCTATGACGAATGCTGCATGGTATTTTGAGAACCTCACATGTGTTCTCACTCATATTCCTAGAAAATGGATTTGGGCTTCAAGACGATCTGTGATAAGACAACTAAACCCTGCTACAAACTCTCTGAAGCTGGTAACATATGGAGCTCAATAGCACAAAGATCATTGGCAAAGATTTGACAGATATGAAAAAAATTGTTTTAAAAAATCAGTTCTGAAATTTGTTCAGACAAAACGATATGCCAGACAAAGAGCCACCTCCTAGGCCTTAACCAGAATTCGGAATGGATGAGTTACCCTGTTCCACCTAATATTCTGACCACCTTAGTACTACTAGACCTACCTCCGTCTCATGTTGGTCAAACGTTTCACAGATATCACAGTACATTCTTGGCTTCACTTCACGATTCGCAGCCGACATTAGTGGCACATTCACTCTGAAAAAAAATTATTGTTATATACTAAACCACACACTAAATACGCAAATGATAAACGGAAACCATGCATAAAAACGTACGAATCAGCTGAGAAACTTTTGAGAGCTTCAATCTCTTCTTGCAGCTTCACTTCCTTCCTCCTTTGATCGGCAATGATTGAATTGGTAAAGGCAAGCTAGAATAACATAGTAAAAACAATCATTTCCACTCAACACAGCACAGCAATACAAATTGCACAAAAAATAATACAACGAGCACGACTTCGAGCATATAAAGAATACTACCACTTGAGCCATCGCCGCATTAAATGGAAAATAAGCGCGCGGTCGCAGCGCGATGAAACTAAATTGGAACCAAAAATCTTCTTTCTAGAGCGATAACCATTTCCATTCATAGTTTAAGCGAAGATACTCACCTCTCTTTTCAACGAATTCACCTCCT